GTAAGACGTCTACGACATTATTTTCAGAGTCACATTGTCATTGTGATTATAGACCAGTCTCTACAGAGAGTATTGGGAAAGCCAGATGTATCCGAGAGACGCCTTAAATGGGGCAGTGAAACTGGGCGAGTTTGATATCCAGTACCAGCCAAGGGCGGCATCAAAACACAAGTCTTGGCAGATTTTATTGCTGAGCTTACACCAGTATAGGATCCCACCACATTTCAAATATCAAGCCTGGATACGCAAAACAAGCTGATGCCCAACAAGGACACCCAGACGCCTAGTCCAAACACCCTGGCGCCCAAAACAAGCACCCAGATCTCCACCTCAGGCACCCAGGCGCCCAACCTAGTGCTCAAACATACACCTCAGGTGCCCAGCCTTGGCGCCTAGCTTTGATGCCCAAGCATCCCCGGGGGCTCAGCTTGGTGCCTAGGCTCCCACGATGATCTGTGAGCCCTCCTCTCTACCACTCTAGAAACTCTATGCGGATGGCTCCTCAACCAGTGAAGGAGGTGGAGCAAGCCTGATCTTGATTAGCCCCGACAACACTTCCATCAAGTATACAATGAAACTCCACTTCATTGTCTTAAACAATGAGGCGGAATATGAAGCCTTCCTATCTGGGATAAGGTTGACAATTGAAATGGAAGCACAACACCTTGTCACTTACATTGATTTACAACTGATAGTTAACAAAGTAAGGGGAGAGTTTGAAGCAAAAGGAGCCAAAATGCAAGAGTACCTTGGTATGGTGAAAGGCTTGATCGCGAAGTTCCAATATTTCCAGATTTGTCATGTCCCGAGGGAGGACAACATGGCCGCAAATGCACGTGCTAGGCTCGCCTCATCTTTCGAACCCCCTCTAAGACCAGCATTTATTGGTCATCAGTTTGAACCAAGCAAGTTAGAAGTAAAAGTCACAAACATCAACTGTACATCCACCAAATCAAACTGGATGACCCCGATAAAGGCATACCTCAAAGAAGGTGCATTGTCAAATGATCCCCTCGAGGCCAGGTGGCTCAGGATGAGAGCTTCCAAATTTACTATCTTACAATAAACCTTATACAAGAAACGCTACTCCTTGTCATTACTGTGGTGTCTTTCGCTTGAAGAAGCTAACTATACCCTATGGGAGATCCATGAAGGGATTTGTGGGAATCACTCTAAAAGACACTCCCTTGCCCACAAAGCGCTCAGACAAGGCTACTTCTGGCCTAGCATGTTGAGGGACACCAAGAAATTTGCCAAGAAGTGCGACAAGTGTCAGCACTTCGCCACTGTGCCTAGGCAACTACTAGAGGAACTCACGGTCATCACAAGTCCGTGGCCCTTCTCCAAATGGAGTATTGACATCCTAGGCCTCCTACCTCTTAGCAGAGGACAGTGCAAGTTCGTGGTGCTAGTAGTGGACTGCTTTACTAAATGGGCGGAGGCCGAACCCTTAGCAAAGATAACAGATACAAAGGTGAAAGATTTTATCTAGAAAAATCTAGTATGTCGCTCCGGGATATCACACGCCGTTGTCAGCAACAATGTCAAGCAGTTCGACAACAAGCTCCTAGACTCCTTCTACTCCGACTTTTAAATAAAGGAGTCCCATTCCAGCCCAGCACACCCGTAGACAAATGGACAAGTAGAAGTCATGGTGAGAACTGTGTTACGCAACCTAAAGATAAGGCTCGAAAAAGCGAAGGTTCTTTAGGTTGACAAACTCCCAATCGTATTGTGGGCCTACCGGACTACGCCAAAAACTCTAACTGAAGAAACCCATTTCTCCCTCGCCTTTGGAACTGAGGCAGTCATCCCTGTGGAGATCGAGGTGCACTCTCTAAGGGTCCAACACCACGACCTTATCACCAATGAGGAAGGACTCTACATCAACCTCGACCTGGTAGAAGAGGCAAGGGAGATGGTTGTAGTCCGTAATGCAGAGTACAAGCGCCTCATGACAAAGTACTACAACTCAAGGGTGAAGCCTCGTTGCTTCTAACCAGGAGATTTGGTCCTCAATAAAATGATCCTCGTCACAAAGGATTCACGATAAGGGAAGTTGGGACCAAACTGAAAATGACCCTACCTCATAACAGAAGTGGTGAGATGAGACACCTACAAGATTCAGAATTCCAAGGGGAAGGTCTTACCCCACCCATGGAACGCTGAGTACATGAAGAGGTACTATCAGTAATACCTTAAGAGAGTAGAAAAGTTAGAGACTTGGTTTTTGGTTTTTATGCTTTTTTGGNTCCAAGGGGAAGGTCTTACCCCACCCATGGAACGCTGAGTACCTGAAGAGGTACTATCAATAACACCTTAAGAGAGTAGAAAAGTTAGAGACTTGGTTTTTGGTTTTTATGCTTTTTTGGGGGCTATTACCCAATATTGCTTGACATGAGCAGTGAATAAATAAAACTTTCTAGATTTACTCCAAAAGATATTTGCATTTTTGTATTCAACTTCAAAGGAGTATCAGTGTCAAAAATCACTTTTTACAAAAGTATGGCTACAAACTACCTTTCTAAAAAAAAATCAAAAGTTCGTAGCACTCTAATTATTCTCATGGTCGTCCTCCTTCTCCTCCTCATCATCACCCTCNTGAATAAATAAAACTTTCTAGATTTACTCCAAAAGATCTTTGCATTTTTGTATTCAACTTCAAAGGAGCATCAGTGTCAAAAATCACTTTTTACAAAAGTATGACTACAAACTACCTTTCTAAAAAAAAAATCAAAAGTCTGTAGCACTCTAATTATTCTCATGGTCGTCCTCCTTCTCCTCCTCATCATCACCCTCAGCATCGTCAGATCCTCCATCACCATCATCAGACGCCTCAGTTGGCACGAAGCCTGAAAAGTTAATGTCAGGAAAAAAAAACAGAAATTTTTTCCCAGAGCTCCTCATAACCGTCAATGAAAACATCTACAAGGCTATTCTCCAGATCCACCTCAGCTCGAGAAGCTCTCTCCTGAGTAGCCTTCACCTCTGCCTCTACGATATCTTCTCTAAGCACGGCCCTCTCGTGGGCCTTTGCAAGCTCAATCTCCTTGAGCATGGCCCTTTNAATAGCCTTCACCTCTGTCTCTACGATATCTTCTCTAAGCACGGCCCTCTCGTGGGCCTTTGCAAGCTCAATCTCCTTGAGCATGGCCCTTTCATAGGCGTCCATAAGCTCAGCCTCATTGAGTGCGTCCCTCGCATGGATCGCCAAAAGCTCAGACTCAAGTTTAGTTGCCCTCTCATGGCCCTTAGCAAACTCAGCCTCTCTGAGTGTGTCTCTCTCACGGGTTGTCTCAAGCTTAGCCGCTCTTTCATGGGTCACCGAAAGTTCAATCTCAAGCGTAGTCACCCTCCCACGAGTCACCACAAAAGCTCAGCCTCAGAAGTCCTGTCAGCAGCTTCAAGCTCAGCGATTCTCTCCTGAGCAACAAGGAGCTTCTCTTTGCACAACTTCATGATTCTGCTTCAGCTGGCCATGACAATAGGCTCTTGAAAATAAACACATAGATGCAGTAGAAGCCTGAAGAAAGATAAAAGTCAAAAGAATGGCAGAAGCTTAAGAAAATNGGGTCACCACAAAAGCTCAGCCTCAGAAGTCCTGTCAGCAGCTTCAAGCTCAGCGATTCTCTCCTAAGCAACAAGGAGCTTCTCTTTGCACAACTTCATGATTCTGCTTCAGCTGGCCATGACAAAAGGCTCTTGAAAATAAACACATAGATGCAGTAGAAGCCTGAAGAAAGATAAAAGTCAAAAGAATGGCAGAAGCTTAAGAAAATGACTAGAGAAAGGAAAACAACAGACCCTTACCTGAGCCAAGCCTTCCAAAAAAGAGTTATCTAGATGGAAAACATCAAGTAAAGGGAAAAAATACAAGAGAATCAACATACTCTTTCTTTTCAAAGAGGATCTTAGAAAGGGTCCACCAGGCCCACCACAATCTTTGGACATAAGAACTCCAACGTCTTTTTCAGGATGGGCCCTCACGGCCTACAACTTCCATTCTTGGTCCTCAGAGAGCATAGGAGAATTTGCAAGAGGCATGATGAGTGAAAAAAAAAAAGGCAAAGGAAAGAAAACAAGTGTGGGGCATACTAAGTTTTTTAGGTGTACCCCATTCNCTCTCACGGCCTACAACTTCCATTCTTGGTCCTCAGAGAGCATAGGAGAATTTGCAAGAGGCATGATGAGTGAAAAAAAAATGCAAAGGAAAGAAAACAAGTGTGGGGCATACTAAGTTTTTTAGGTGTACCCCATTCTATTGGTACCAAAGTCCTATCGGCCTCTGCGGCCCACTGTCCGCAGACAAATATAAATCAAGACTTCCAATTATGACAGTTGGAGTGCAGTCTGGTAATCAACTTGTTCCTTATAGTAAAATAATACAACCCCGATTGGGAGTAGGAGTCTCGTTCAAAGTATAGGCTGCATGAAACTTGACAGTAAAGGCATCCTCATGATGCACCTTCCTCCACAGTACCAAAAAGCATAGTAAAACTCTCCAACTATTGGGCGAAAATCGCCCTAGTGTGAGTGAAAAGTAATGGAGAATGCGACAAATAGAATGAGACATGGGGAATCTAAGCCCAGCCTCAAGTATCTCCTCATAGATGGGAATGTCACCAGAGAAGTCATTAGAGGCGAGCTCACCCATCTTAGATCGACAGCACAGCACAGCCAAAGGAATGTGGTAGGCAGAAACAATCTGCAAAATATCAGCGTCCATATTTAAAGTGCTAAAAATAGTACTCACTTTAGACCCATCGTCATCAGGGGTTACCTTTCCTCAGTGCTTTTTGTTGCGAAAGCATGAAGAGTTGCTTAAGCCACTACCAGAGAGGCCTTGAGGAGTCTGATTTTGAGAAATTTCACTTGAAAGAGCTGAGTCATCACTACTCTGCCTAGAACCCGGCTCGCTAAACTTCGTGCCCAACCTCTACCACCAAAGGGAGCTCGCCCAAACTGAGTGATGGGCCCAGCGCCTAGGGAGGCTCGCCCACCTACAAGGACGTCTCGCCCCGCGCCAAGGGGAGCTCGCCCAAACTAAGTAAGACACCCAACGCCAAGGAAGGCTCGCCCAACTGCAGGGACGCCTCACCCAAACCCCCTTTGGCACACCCACTAACTCCCATTGCCAAGACAGCCTCACCCGGTGCTATCTCCCTCGCACAGACAATGGTTGTTGTCCTATCCAGCTCGCTAATCACGTTGGCTGCTCGCCCATAGGCAGCCTCGTCATTCACATAGGCTACTCGTCCATCGTTGCCCTGGCCAGATCCCAGCCACCCATCTCCACTCCACGCCACCTGGGTTGCTTACCCATCACCACGCACACCCCTAAAGCGACCAAACTGCTCGCCCAATCTCCCCAAGTCAACACCCAAAGGGGCACCCAAGGCCCCCTGCTCGCCTAGACTGCCTGAATCAACTCCCAGCGCCTCTCTCTGCTCGCATAATAGGTTGCCTTGCGTGCCTGCACCGCCTAGAGCTTCATCATTGACACCCAACTTAGGTGCCTCAACATTTGCAGCCAGCTCTTGGGTCACCTAGGCTGCCCCACCTGCTCTGTTCTCCATCACACCGAGCTCCTGATAGCCTGCCTTGTTGATCAGTTCATCACCATGGATACCGATGGTTTCTCCTTTTTCATTTGACATTGATTACAAAGGAGAAGATCTCAAATCTTAGGTTCTCAAGTGTTTCAAGAAAAGGCTCACCTCCTTTATTCTCTCAAATTTCTATGGAATGGGCGGAATGGGGAAAAAGCTCCCTATTTATACCTATGGTTTTTAAAATCCTATTGAAGGAAGAAAAAAGCAAAAAGACCCAATTCAAAACCAAGGGCTCTTCTAGAATTCAAAAGGGGGAAATAAAAGGAAGAGTTTATANTTGCTCTCTCAAATTTCTATGGAATGGGCGGAATGGGGAAAAAGCTCCCTATTTATACCTATGGTTTTTAAAATCCTATTAAAGGAAGAAAAAAGCAAAAAGACCCAATTCAAAACCAAGGGCTCTTCTAGAATTCAAAAGGGGGAAATAAAAGGAAGAGTTTATATATCTGGAGATGTCCTATAGAGCTAAAATATATATTAGGAAAGAAGGAGGAGTCTTAGTATGTGATTCAAAAAACCGTTTAGGTTTTGAGGGGGCAACCCCTGCCACCTGACCGGGCAGGTGGAACCTCGCAACCTGTCCGTGCAGGTCGATCCCCAAGTCGAAGCGCAACATGGACGTAGTAGCAGAGGAGTCTTCGTGAGTCAGAATTCAAATTCAACTAAATGCCCTCTTCTCTAATTTTTATTGGACACAGGGCATTGGGGGCAATGTTATCAGAACCAGACCAGTCATCAAACTAGCTAGGAGACTGGGTCAATGGTTCACTGGTTCAACCAGTGGGTCACTGGTCGGACCAACCATATAATAAAAAAAATTAAAATATATATATAACAATGATAAAACATAATAATTTAGCTAAAAAATATAAAATGNCATGCAGGTCGATCCCCAAGTCGAAGCGCAACATGGACGTAGTGGCAGAGGAGTCTTCGTGAGTCAGAATTCAAATTCAACTAAATGCCCTCTTCTCCAATTTTTATTGGACACAGGGCATTGGGGGCAATGTTATCAGAACCAGACCGGTCATCGAACCAGCTAGGAGACTGGGTCAATGGTTCACTGGTTCAACCAGTGGGTCACTGGTCGGACCAGCCATATAATAAAAAAAATCAAAATATATATATAACAATGATAAAACATAATAATTTAGCTAAAAAATATAAAATGTGTCTAAAATGCATACAATTTGTCATAAAATTAATGAAGTTAAATAAAAGAAACACCTGTGCCAAATATCAAAGTTAAACTTTAAAGCTCCAATCCAAGTACATAACAGAAAAATCATTCCAAGTCCAAACCCNAGACCCCAAACCACAAACCACAATCCCTACTCAAGTTAAAAGTTTACATAAGAACACATCATCTCCAAATGATAAGTAAACATAAGTTGCAAATCTCAAACACAATATCACAATGGCCATGCAAAATAAAAGACAACTCCTCAAATACTTGATAAAAGTTACACAAAGTATATTCTCTATTCATTCTCATTTTCCCAACGAGTACTCCTACTCCATGAACTCCAATCCATGNTTCACAAAGTATATTCTCTACTCATTCTCATTTTCCCAACGGTACTTCTACTCCATGAACTCCAATCCATGCCAAACTCAGGGTGTTCAACTCTAACGTGATTGATATTTTTAACAGTAGTTGCATTCCCAAAACCTCCACTCCCATTACCCCCTTCATTTTCAAGATCATCATCGTCGTCATCCAATTCAAAGTTCAAATTTTCATCTACATTATATCCAAAAGAGGAATTATTTATTGATGTATCAAATAATGATTGTAGATATATACTTTTAGTGATAAAGACAATACAAGAAGAATGAAACATACCAGTGTTGAGGTTTGGTTGGATATTGTATGCAGCTAATTAACCACGAAAACTTTCTACTTCATCTATAGTTAAACTTGGAGGCTCATCCTCTAAAATCCATGAGGCATTACTTGTGAAATCTTTAAAGTAAATAGGATCATAATTTCTACCCCCCTCAAGTAAATCCTGTATATCGTCATTTACTTGANTATTAAATCTTCAAAGTCAATAGGATCATAATTTCTAGCCCTCAAGTAATTCCTATATATCGTCATTTACTTGATGAAAATGTCTAAAATATGCTATCAATGAAATATAATAAAAATCATTTGTCTTTTAATAAGATGCTAACGTAGATTTCATACCTTTGTTGTAATCTTAAGTTGTAATGAACATAAACAAGATCATTAAGCCTTTGATGCTCCAACCTATTTCTTTTCTTTGAATGAATGTGTTCAAATGCACTCCAATTCTGTTCACAACTCGAAGAACTACATGTTTGGCTTAAGACGCGAATGACTAATTTTTGTAAATTTGGTGCACTTCTTCCATAACACAACCATCATTCATCTGCATTTGATGTATCATAATCAAATTATAGCATTTAAAATAAACTAAACAAACTACTTGACTTGAATTAGTCAAAATTCAAAAGATTCTAAGTACCAGGAAGCATCGTATGTCGATCACTAATAGCAGTCACTCGCCCAAAGTCTCCCTCTGCATTTCTGAACAACTTCATCTCATTTGTCAACTTACTTCTTAAAGTGGGATTTCCATAAGCATAACTCTCAATCACATCCAAGAGCCCTGAGATAGTCTGCCTGTGCTTTTCCATTTCAATAGTGTTATATTAGTTACTCGGATTCAACCAATAACCAGCGGCATGCAGATTTTTGTGAAGCTGTCTATCCCAATGAGAATCAATGATTTTCAAGTAAACATCTACTCTTTTTTTCTTTTTTTGAAATCTTCTTAATAGTTCCTCCCTAGCTGTATGCATAGCCATGTACAAATAGCCCATTGAAGGCCTATCATCACTATCAACAATCCGTAGCACTCGAACAAGAGGCTCTGTTAATTGGACAATAATAGCACATTCTTTCCAAAACCTAGAATCCAACACACTATCAACAAATTTTTTTCCCTTACTTTCCTTTGCATATGCCAACCCAGTCCATTCTCTTGATGTAACCATAGCTCGTAAAGCATCCTTTTGTGCCAAAATACTTTGCAATGCAATAAAATTGGTTGCAAAGCGTGTAGGAGCAAGTCTTAGTATTTCCCTTCCACCAGTATGTTTCCTCATTAAATGCAAAGGAAAACAATGATTGTATATGTATTTTGTGATCTTTGAAGCATGGGACACAACATCATTTACCTCATCCAACTTTCCAATGTCCTGCAACATCAAGTTCAAGCAATGAGCTGCACATGGTGACCAAGATATTGTGGGAAACTCTTGCTCCAATAACCTCCCTACAGCAACATAATTTGTAGCATTGTCAGTTACTATGTGCACCACATTTTCTACACCAACAAATAACACTACCTCTTTAAATAATTTAGATAACATATCAGTTGTCTTTGAAGCATCAGAGGCATCAACTGACTTTAGAAACACTGTTCCTCTAGGACAATAGGCTAAGAAATTAATGAGAGTTCTCCTACATTGATCTGTCCACCCATCAGCCATGATAGTGCAACCAGTCTCCTTCCATGTGGTTTTAAAACTATGAACAAAATTTTTTACTTCTTTGACATTCTTGTTCAACAAATAACCACGTATGTCATGAAAGTTAGGGCCTTTATAACCACCACCATAACCTGTTACTGCATCAAGCATAGGTTGATAATATTTGGAATTCACAGCATTAAAGGGAATGCAAGCATCAATCATCCATTTAGAAACAGCAAGATCACACCTTTCTTTTGCTTCCTTACTTTGTAACACACTTTTAATAGTAGGTTGATCACTTGGAGTAGTCCTTAGCACAAAGAAAGAGCCAATTGTTTGACCCTTTCTTCCTCCGCCCATTTTAGGTGTTNATACACTTTTAATAGTAGGTTGAGCACTTGGAGTAGTCCTTGACACAAAAAAAGAGCCAATTGTTTGACCCTTTCTTCCTCCGCCCATTTTAGGTGTTGATTTACCTCGACTTCCACCACTGGAAATGCCCTTTCCCATAAAAGATGATGGAAGTTCTTGAACATCATCATTCTCTTGCATGTACTCTTGCTCTTCATATTGTCTAAACTTTGGTCCATATTGATTTAATTCTTCGTAATCTTCTTGTGTCTTTCTTTTCTTGTTACCAACACTTTCTAGGAGCAATTTCATCTTAAGGCTCACATCTGGAGGGCATCTAGTACATCGTTCTATTGCTCCTTTAATCCTCGCCAACTGTTGTTTGAATCTGTTGGTACCACCACCCTTTATAACCTTTTGACAATACAAATAAATCAAATTCCTCCCCTTTTTTGAAGGAACAACATCTTCCCGACAATGTTCCCATGTAGGGTTAGTTTTTCCTCTACCTGTAGCTTGTGTAGAGGAAGAGTTTGGTGTAGCTGTAGAACTAGTTGGGGTTGGAGTAGATTCATTTGGTGTGCCAGAAGATGACATTTTGCTAGAGCAAACAAACTGAAAGCATAAAATCAACAATGTCAACAAAAATTCCAACTGAAAATATGATCATATACCCTAAGTCTTGTATTACATTATTTAACTAAGCAAAAATCTAATTCATTTACCCACGCTTGCTAAGCAAAAACAACATAATCAAGTTTATGACTACCCATTAGCTATGGAACATCAATGATCCCTTATGGCTGCAATTCGATAAAAAACCAAATCAGCACCAAAGATCAAAATGCAACTTTAAAGTTTAAACATAAACAACATAATCACATACAAAGATCATTAATACGGACTATTACAAGAACACAATTAGTAATTCTAAATCAAATTTCTAGTGAAGACAAATACAATAAATGTGGCACTCATCCCAATCCAATCACTGTGGCAATAAAATTCATACTTGAGCCTAACATCCTCCAAATTCCCCAATTCCTCAACCCCAATTTCCCAAAAATTGAAGTCCAATTAGAACACCCTAGATAAATAGATTTCAAAAGACCAATCCGCAAAGGGAATCAAAGTAGCAAAAAATACCCATATAAAGATTCATCAAGAAATGGAAGAACTTGAAAGACTGT